CTGGCTTGTTCCAGCAGAAGTACATATTGCATTTGTACGTACTGTCTTTAATAGGAACAAGCCTGATTATAGGGCTCTGAAAGGTTCTTTAGCAAAGAGAAATCGTTGTGTCTTACATCTAGAAGGCAGGCTTGCAAAATGATTTAGAAAAGCATGTTCAAAACAGGTATGTGGGCTAAAAAGCTAGATATTAGGCTTTTTAGACATTCTTTTTTTCAGGTCTTCAGCTTTAACAGAAGTATTATCATGCAGACTTAAAGAACACACAGGAAATGATGCTCTGTAGCTGAAGGACAGACGTTAGAGGAGAAACATAACATGAAAAACATGTTCTAATTAGAAAAGGGCCTATGTGCCAAGAAGCATTTATAAGTCTGTGCTTTTGACTTTTATTGCTCATGATTTGGGGTCATTACAGTTTACATTGTCCCTGACTGTCAGGATTTTATTAGCACAAGCAGGGCTAATGGCAAGTTTAACTTTAACCGAGGGGAAAGCGAGATTAATCTATTCCTATGTGAATGGAAGCAGAATTCACTATAGTATTTAATGACATTGTTATACGAAAAAGCAGGTGGTTTGCAATCATTTCTGGCTTTAAATTATTTTTTATTTTTTTGCTCTGTCTAGATGTAAAAGTAGGCAAGTTGACAAAATACAAGATAAAAACATTTTAGAAGCCAAATGAAAAGTATATTTTTCAATTAAGTAACACCTTATAGCTCTATAAATGCTATCATTCGATTTGATGAATGTGATGAAATGAAAAATTTAGAGAAAAAGGGAGGATCAGAAAGAAGGATGGCACATTCAAGATCAGACCCACGGTGACTGCTTACACTTAGCTTTCCAATCATGCTTGTAAGAAAACTTTAAAAATGATGCAGGGATGTATGTAAGAAGAAACTCCGTAAGTTTTTGCCTATTACATTTTTCAAAATGAGATCAAATGAAACAGTTAACCCTCCCACTGTCCTCATGGGTGACCCCGCCAGGAAAGTTGACCATTGAGCAGGGTTCATGGTTTATCCCTTGAGGTCCACGTGGCAGGGGTGAAGTGGTGCTTACTCCTCACCCCTGCCACGTGAACCTCAAGGGATAAACCATGAACCCTGCTCAATGGTCAACTTTCCTGGCGGGGTCACCCATGAGGACAGTGGGAGGGTTAAAAAACCTTTGGACTGAGAGCCAAAAAGCTGTAAAAATTGTAACAATTTAGAGTTGAAAAATGGAATGAACACACACACACACACACACACACACACACACACACACACACAGGCATTAAGAAGCTAATCATTATTTAGTCATAAGTTCAAATCATGCTTTTCCTCAGGAGACAAAATGTTGTTGGAGAAACCCTGAGCAACATGACCGTATACCCCGTTCATCAGAGCAGAAATGGTATCCTCTCAGCAAACAGACTAATGGTTTGACTCTGCAGCTCACTCTAACCCAGAAAGCACACTGCAGTGCCAGGCGTGTCAGCTCTACTTTACTGAGACTGACAGGGACCAGACCAGGACTCTGAAGGTGCAAGTTTGGTATTCTGACCACAGAGGGCGGTGGGAGACATTCCATTATCCCTGTTAAGGATCATTTTAGCAAATGGATCAAGACAATTATAAGAAAATCTGAAAATTTTTTATATCAACAGTAACCTGAGTGAATACAAACTGTAGCTTTTAGAAAATTATTTTATCTCACACGTAGCGTTAAGACATCACACATTGCTTTTACTGATCCATTCAGAGTCTGCCAGATCTGATGGAGGCGTGGTTTTGGTGGTGCTTGGTAAATCTGTCATCTTTTCATTCGACCATAAACCAAAACATCCGAAGTATAAAACTATGCCCACGTCATCTTTAACGCCAGTTCAACGCTTTCTAGAGAAGTTGTCGGAGTGGCCAATCCGTAACTTTCCTCTTCAGCCGAAAGAACCAACGACAAGCTGGATCAAATTGCTGTTCCAACTGCTGCAACGGTTCCTTTCAGAATAAAAGCTGAACCATCACAACCCCGTTTTGGGTCTTGTTAGATGCCAACCAAACTGTTGTGACCCGGAAGTATCTCAAAGACTGGACTGGTCGGCTGCCGCGGCTGTTCTACAAGCTTCGGCTCCAGAAAGGTCCAAGCTGGTCCCCTACACCTCCTGATCTAGACGGGGACTTCCGCCAAGGGTATGTAGACCGACAGAATGGCATTTTATGTGTTTATGAATCTCTGAATCAAAGCTTAGCGTGAAGACATCACCTTCACTCCCATCAGAACTAACCATTTCTCCGGATTTGCTGGTTCTGAACAACATTCCACACTACACCATTCTCCGTCTCACTTCACCTTAGTTACACCACACACTAAGAGTTTAAAGTTAGTCTAGTTTTAATGTGTTTAGTAATAAATCTTAAAACTTTTAAAATCTGACTCTCTCTTCTGTTGTCTCTCGGTCAATATGAAGTTGTTACATAATCCCTGCAATAAAAAGTTCCAATCTTCTGGTTAAAAATACCCAAAGATCCATCAGATTGATTTAATATTTTCTATGGAATCTCGTGTCTCATGGTTCATTAAATAGCATGTAAATTAAACCCTTTACACATGTCAACACTGCCTTGTGTGAAGAAAAATAACCAATCCCTAAATTTAACTGGCTCTACTACTCTTAGGATAATATTTACAGGATTGTTGAGCCACATTGAAGGGTTTCCAGCACGAACGGTTTGTTTAAGGGCAAAGTTCAGATATTTCCTCAGATTTTTTAGGGAGCATTAACTGTTTAATCAAAAAAGCTAGTTTTTAAGGTCCTGAAATTGCAAAGCATCCCCAAACCACCACTGTACCACCACCATGCCTTACTGTTGGTATGAAATACTTTTCAATGTGAAAAGTCCAACTTTTCTCATCAGTACACAGAATATTTTCCTACACATCTTGTGCATTAAGATATCTTTTGGTAGATATGAAACATGCATTTGTGTTCCTTTTGGTCAGCACCCGTTGAAGTCTCCCATAGCTTTCTTCACTGTAAGATAACAGGCTTTGAAATGTACTATTGTGAAAAGGAAGTAAGTGAAAAGTTTCCTTACATTGCTGAAGTCCTAGATTATGTATGAACAACTCTGAGACGATGTGAAACATTTCTGTGTTCATTTTTATTCTTCAAAATTTCGTTACCGACTCTCGTAACAATATTACTGGATGAGACAACTTCAGTCATCTGGATAATGATATTAAATTAACCGGTTATGGTACATCCTGTTACGCTGTCACAACTATATTATAGCAGATATAAAACTACAGTACCAAGCAAGATGAACCCTTGCAAATTTGCTAACCCTGTCAGAGAATTTAGACAATTTTGACACACAATGACAGAGCTGCTGCTAATGATGAGACACATAGAAAACAGCTTGTCATGTGTGAAGGGCAACTTCACATGAAGCCATCATTAAATCAAACGATCAAAGATAAACAAAACCGTCCTCCTAGACACACACTACTTGTTGGTCTGCTGATAAAAGCACAGAACTGAATATTTTACACCAGTTTTTTTTTTCTTTTAAGCACAGCATGGCATTGACACCATTTCAAAAGTGCAGCAAAAACACTTAAAACACATTTAAATTCATAGAAAATACAAGAAGCGTATTTCAGCCAAGGGTTAAAGGGCGTGCATGGCTCTAATCCTTTCTAGCATATAGAATCTAATGCAAACAGAGATATGGGTGGGTATTGCTGCAGGTAACACACAGTATACACAAAAACGGCATCAACACTCAAAGGGTCTTTTATCACCAGTTGGTGTTCGTGAGCATTTGAAGTACTCAAATCATTGAAAAGTGCTTCAGACAGCTTCATATGAGCAACATTACTGTTACTTTGTGGAAGTTTAGAAGTTAAGGAAAGGCTTTGCATCAAATTGTAAGTTTGATATGAAATAATGAGCCCATAGAAAGAGCTGGACCATGCTTTAGAATACAAATGAAGCGGATAAACTGAAAGATATAAACGGCGGTTCTTTGATTAAATTAGAAATGGAGGCTTAAAAGAGCAGAGATGATGATGAAGCTAAGGATAAAGTACTTTCTGTGAAGTTATAAGAAATGAGGAGGCCATTGAAAGTGTGTTACTTAATATCTGATTGAAAGATTAAATGCTTGAAAGAAAGGCTAGAAGGATGTCAAAATAATAAAACAATTAGATAAACTTGAGGACATCTGTCTTTAGGAAAATGTGATTGGTGCCTGACCACCGTTGGCATCATGCGTGTATCACTGTGTTACACAACATTACTAATGAGAAATACATTACTACCAAAGTCACTCCAGTGTAGAAGGAGCCTGAAGACACAGGAGTTCCAATTATGGAGGATGCTGCGTCTTCTAGAGAGCAGTGGATTAGTAAAGTGTGTGTGTGTGTGTGTGTGTGTGTGTGTGTGTGTGTGTGTGTGTGTGTGTGTGTTTTGATAGGAAGTTTAGGAGTACCTAAATGTCTGCTGAAGAATGCTAGACTTCTTATCACCTGCAAGTTATGGGGGATCTTGTAAATGGTATTGGTTGGTCACTACAGCTTTTAAAATTCTAATGTAATAATTTATACTGTTTTAATCATTTGTATTGTTAAATGTATTTTGTATTTTAAACATGGACCCCAGGAAGATTAGCAATCGCTGCTGTGGAAGCTAATGGGGATCCAAATAGCACAATAAATTATAAACAATAAACCTTCATTATCTAGTTGTCTATCACTAATGCTACTAATGGAAGTGAATTCTATGGTTGTTGAAAAAACAGAGAGAAGGGAGGACAGATTGAAAAGAAACCGTAAAATTTGTAAGAAAAATGTACCAAAGAAGAAAAGTTGAACCTAAAATGTGCTTCCTGTAATTAAAGAGGGTGTGGGTATACATGACATAACAGAATAAAATATAAAATAAAAAGGTGAATAAATGAGACTGAATAATAAAAACAAAAGCTGGGAAAATAAAAAAGTATTTTTACCTTGACGGTCATCTCTGCCACGAAGATGGCCGTAAAGATGTAGTTGGATATGGTGAGAAACAACCTTTCCTGCAGGAAAAGAGAAGAAAACGGACATTTCTTTACAAAGATGGAAAAAATTTAAAATATGTTGAGTGAATATAACATTAAGTTTTCTGTAGTGCAACATCCCCAACAGCATTTTAATCAAACATATTTTATTGAATGACTTGCTTTGAAAAACACCCATCAATAAATATTCAAATGTTGATAGATTTAAGAGTGAAGGGACTGGACAATGTTAGACTCCTACTACATCTGATGTGGCTCAGTCAATCCCGAGATGTTCCTATTGCTGCTCTATCTTTGGATGCTGAAAAGGCGTTTGATAGGGTGGAGTGACACATTTTTGCTCTCCACTCTTGGGCATTTTGGTTTCACTGCTGATTTTATAAAATGGATTACAATGTTATATAAGGAACCTAAGGCTGCGGTGATGACAAATGGGATAGTTTCCCCTTTCTTCAACCTGACTAGAGGGACTAGACAGGGATGCTCTCTGAGCCCCTTATTATTCATTATTTTCTTGGAGGTCCTAGCAGTGTCCATCAGAACGCACCCGGGAATAAAAGGAATAAGGGTAGGGGGCAATGAATATAAGTTACTGCTGTATGCGGACGACATTTTGGCAGTGGTATCGGAGCCCTTAAAGTCGCTACCACATTTAATGGATACTATACAATCTTTTTCTAAACTTTCTGGGTACTCCATTAATTGGAATAAATCAGAGGCAATGCCCCTTTCTAAGCTATGCATTTCATCCATGGTAGAAACATTTAATTTTAAATGGACGCGTAGGGGAATGCAATATCTCGGTATTAACCTCTCTGAGGATATAGATGAGATAATAGCATTGAATTTCAACCCTCTGCTTCAAAGGCTAAAAACAAATCTTGATAAATGGTCAAAACTAAAATTGAGTCTGATGGGAAAAATTAATACTATAAAGATGATTGCTGCCCCACAAATTACATATGTTAAAATGATGTTGCCAATTAAGAGTCCACCTGCCATCTTTAGACAACTAGATGATGTAATTAAAAATGTTTTATGGAATGGAAAAAAACCAAGACTGAAACTAAGGAAATTATGTGCACATAGGGAGAAAGGAGGGCTGGGTTTGCCAGACCTGAGACTGTATTATCTAGCATTTGAGATGACAAAAATAGCAAGGTATTGGCAAACAATAACAGATAAACCAGGGTGGATGGAGGTGGAGGAAAATATATGTTTACCTTTTCAACCTTCAGTGGTACTAGCACAAAGGTCTAATATTACTAATCCAGTACTTTTACATTCAAAGGATGTATGGAACAAAGTTCATAGACTCTACTGTCCACTCCTTGTTCCCTCCTCTCCATGACTGATGTCAATTTGTTGTTGTTATTGTTGTTGTTAGCCTCAAGGGCAAAATGCCGATTATCACTTGTAAGTCGCTTTGGACAAAAGCGTCTGCTAAATACATAAACATAAACATAGACTGTTAAACCTCAAACATACTCAGCAGAAATATTCTGCATTATGGTGTAATCCCAAGGTCTGCATAGGGAAGAAACCTGTTTACTGGAAAGAATGGCAAGTGAAAGGATTAAATACTATTGGAGATCTGTTTAAGGACGGAGCGTTTTTGTCATATGCTGAACTAGTGCAAGAGTTTAACTTAGAGGGCAGGGGTCACTTTTGGAAGTTCTTGCAAATGAGAAGTTGTATTACCTCGCAGCCATATAATATTGAAGACAACACAGTAACTGAGTATATGAAACTTCCAACTAGTAAACACAAAGCCTCGCAGTTCTATAGAATCATTAACTCTCTCCTCAGTGATGATTCCAACCAGTTAAAAATGATCTGGCAGAAAGACCTTGGCATAATGTTCGATGATGATATATGGAAAACAATTGTTGTTAACTGTGGTAAACACGTAAGAGAGGTGAGGAGTAAACTCATGCAATATAATGTGCTAAACAGATACTATTATACGCCATCTAGACTGTTTAGAATGAAGCTAGTGGATGATGATTTGTGTTGGAAATGCAAAACGAGTATTGGGACGTTCATGCATTGTATTTGGGAATGTGCTCCTATCAGATGTTTTTGGACCCGTATTGTCAAGATCTTAAGTAATTGGTGTGGAACAGACATCCCTTTTAACCCAGAACTGTGCTTATTGGGAGATAAATCTCAGTTGCCTAATGTAAATAAATGTAATTTTTCAATCATCTCAGTGGAGTTAATAACAGCCAGTCGAGTCATTTTAAGACACTGGAAAGCAGTAGAATCTCCAGAGGTTAAGGAATGGGTCTGTGCAATGGCCGAATCTGCATCATATGAATGTATGCTCAGTAAAATGAGTGAAGACAACAGAGAGGGAACTTCTCACTGGGATAGATTCTGGAACTTTTTAAAGACAGACAAAGGCCTTGGGTGAAATCAAGCATGTTATGTGACTGCTGTTGTTCCAACGTTACGTGTCTGCAGGAGTTATATGATTGGGACTTGTATTCAAAATCAACTGTTACAACTGTATGTTTAGTCCCTCCATGTTTAGTATCTATTGAGACTGTTATGTACCAGCCCCTCAACGAAAGTTCAATAAAAACTTGAATTTAAAAAAAAAGAGTGAAGGGACTGGTCACATGAGCTTTAAAAAGTAAAATTTTTAAAGTACTATTATGTCCTGAAAAATCCCTCTCTCTTAATTCAAACAGAAGCATGCAATGTGCCAAGATTTGACATCCTAGTAGGAGCGTCATTAATGCAAACCTGTTTACAGACCATTCTACAACCACTGCGTTCTGTATTTAGACAGCTGCTTAGAAAATTACAAAAAATGTCTTTTTTAAGAAAATATGTTCATTTGTCACTTTCTGAACTTACTAACGTTTCATCGATTGAAGTAATAACCTGATAAAGAGTAAAAGTATCCTGTACTCTGGTTACTCAAATAAACCAGCATATAATACATCAAATCTTCATGAACAAAAATGATTTTGTCTTGTTTGAAATGTTTTGATAATGACCTGTTCTAACTTAGCTTACTCTATCCCACCCATCCAAGCTTTATTTGTGATGACATGTTAACACACCATTTCGTGCATACTAAAAGTTTGCAAAAAATAATAAAAATTTAAGGAAAAAAGTCAAATTTGAAAAACGAGCATCCTGTTTTTTTTTTTTTTTGGCAGATAAAGTTGGAATGGTTTGAGTTGGTAGAATCAGCCAAAAGGGCTCATGATTGATTCAAGTTAACCTGAAAAAGAGCGCACACAGTTTTAATTTTAATTATTAATATAAAAGAAATGCTAACTTAAAGGTGTAGTTCACTTGTTTGATCAATACTTTGCAGTGGTTTCTAGTAGGAATGAATGCCTTGTAAGTAATTCTTGTGGGGGAAAATATACCGGTGCACCATTTCCTGGAATTAAAAGTTTCCCACATCACAGCTGAGCTTTAAACAGCAGGTTTTTGAGTCTTATTTACTGATATTTGGACAACTTGCCTTGGATTGGACAGCAGAACCACGACTTTTCCACTGACTTGCAACGTTAATGTTTTATCTCCACAAATAATACAAACCTGGAGGACTTTCTGCTGTGTGGTGATGGTGTTAATGTTAACAGTTAGCTTCTAAATGCTGGGATGTTCTCTGCTGTTTCCTAGACGCTAAACCATCAACAGCCTTCCCCGTTGTGAGCCAAGATTGGTGAGTCCATGAATGTTAAGTGACAGCGTGATGTAGATCTGTGAGGATTTTCAAATCCTAGAGTTTCACCATCTGTTTTCTATCAGAAGCTAATGCACAAGATAGATGTAGGAGACTATTTTCATGTTCAGCCTGCATGAAAAACTCACAGTTGATTATAATGAGAAATGATCATTAAAAATTGGTTTTCAATGTTCCACACTTTTAAGACTTTATTTTGGTATTGTCTTGATATTAGAATATTCTTAATTTCTCTGCAAAATATCAAGAACAATTTCAACAGGAATACACCTGAGGATAAGCAGAAAAAAAGGTTTTGTTTGACACAACCTTTAGGATACTGTAATGTCTCATCAGACACAATAACGGTCGGAGACGCGCACTTATGCTTTAGTCTTTTTAATGATTCCAAAAGAGTTGCTGTTGGCCGCAACCCTGCAGAACACAGAGCCCCCCCCCCCCCCCCCCCCCCCCCCCAAAAAAAAACAACGAACAGAGAGAGAGAGGAAGACCAAAAAACCAACAACTCCTCCTGAGGGTACCCCCCCCCCCTCCCTCATCCCCCCCCCCCTCCTAGAAATGCTCATCCACTCCATTCTATTGCCATAAAAGAGAACCAAGCACAACATAGAACACAGCTAAAGTGCAGAATGTTACACTGCCCCCTCCCCACTAAGACCCTTGTTCGGAGGGTCACTCGGAAAGTCCCTGAGATGCTCAGGGGGCCTTCTCAGCCCCCTGAGGTTTGTGTAATGTGATCAGGTGTGGCCGCACTTCTTGTCCTTAGGCAGCCGGTTGCAACGCGGGGGTGAGAGTGGGGTGGAAGCGGGGTGCGGGGGGGTGGGGGTGGGGGTGGGGTGGTACCTGTGGGGAAAAGTGTGGTTGTCGAACCCCTTTGAGCAGGCGTGGGCCGCCTGGGGCTCTGTTGCGGCTGAGCAGTGCCTCTGTATGGTGCCAGTCTGTCCCTATGGAGGACCACTTTCCTGCCCTGGGGGGTAAGCTGGACCCTGTACTCAACCCCTCCCAGTTTCTCAAGCACCCCACAAGGACCCACCCAGTGACAGTCCAGTTTGGGACATCAACACTTTTTCCTCCTGGGGCTATACACCCAAAACAAATCACCGGCCTCAAAGTCGTGACCTTTAACCCGCAGGTCGTAACTCCTCTTCTGTCTCATGCAGGCTTTTTGCAGCTGGTCTTGGGCAAAGGCGTGAGCTGAGTCCATCCTGTCCTGAAGCCTCCTGGCGTATTCTGGGCCTGGAGGAACAGCGAGAGTGTCAGCGGGTCTCCCAAAGGTCATCTCCGGAGGGGTGTGCAGTTCTCGTTCCAACGTGAGCAGTGCAGGTGTGCATTGGGTGGAATCCTGTACAGCAGACCTGTAGGCCAGCAAGATGGGGGGGGGGGGTGGGGGGGGGGGGGGGGGGGGGGGTTGCATGTCCCAGTCCTGTTGGTGCTCTGCCGTGAGAATGGCTAGTTGTTTCACCATGGTTCGGTTGAAGTGCTCAACCAAGCCATCGCTCTGGAGGTGCAATGGGGTGGTCCGAGTCTTTTGCATGCCCAGGCGTTCGCACATGGCAAAGAACACAGCTGACTCAAAGTTCCTTCCCTGGTCACTGTGAATGGTCTCCGCTGCACCGAACCTTGAGAATATGCCCTCCACCAGGACATCAGCAGCAGTCTCTGCTTCCTGGCCTGCAATGGCATAGGCCTCTGTCCACTTGGTAAAGTAGTCCATGACAACTTAAACATAACGGTTCCCACTGTCTGTACAGGGGAACAGCCCCACCACGTCCACCGCCACTATTTCCATTGGGGCCCCCAATGCTACCTGCACGAGAGCTCAGCACAAGGCTGCTGAGGTGGACCCTTGTGTGCTGTGCAGAAATCACAGTGATGGCAGAAATCCTCCACATCCCTCCTGACCTGACCCCAGTAAAACCCCTGATGGATGCGGCAGAGTCTTTGCCACCCCAAAGTGACCAGTCCCTGCGGCTCCATGACAGGCCTGGAGGATATAGTCCCTTAGCGCTCGGGGAACCACCACCTGCCACCTTTCCTCTCCAGTGGCTGGCTCTGTCCAAGCCCTCTGTAGCACCCAAGTCTTCACCCTAAGGGCATCATATTTCACAAGCAGTCCCTTGGAAGCAAGAGAGCACCCTGACACTTCCTCCCACCGTGGTTTACGGCTGGCCTCCACCCAATGTAGCACCGATTGCAAATCAGTGTCCTGCTCTTGTCGTGCTCTCCACTCTCTTTGGTCGACCATTTGAGTCATGCTGCAAACCTGTCTGCCCCCCCTCACATGTGGTAACACCCCCCCCCCCCCCCCCGGATTTCCGCCTCCGCCTCCCTCCTCTTGCAGTATCCGCATCCCGTAGGGCCGTCGAGACATGGCATCAGCATTTCTGTGCTGAGTCCCTGCCCTGTATTCAATCGTGAAGGAGTGCGATGCTAGCTCCTCCAGCCAGCGGTCTGTCTGCCCCTCTGGTTCTTGAAAGGACATCAACCATTGTAAAACAGAATGATCAGATCGGATGGTAAAAGGGAGACTGCAGAGGTAGTATCTGTAATGGCCTATGGCTTTAACAACTGCGAGGAGCTCCCTGCGGGTCACGCAATAGCGCCGTTCTGCTTTGTTGAATGTCTTGCTAAAGTAGGCCACCACCTTTTCCCCATCCTCCCCTGTCTGACTCAGCACCACCCCCATCCCCACATCACTGACATCCGTGTCGAGGATGAATGGCCGATTGGGGTCGGGGGGGTGAGGATTGAAGAGTTTGTCAGAGCCATCTTCAAAGAGATGAAGGCCTGCTCACACTCTGGTGCCCACACAAAGTCACATCCTTTCCCCAGCAGGCGAAACAGGGGTGCAGCTATACATGAGACTCCTCGAACAAACTGCCTGTAATAGGAGGCCAGTCCAAGGAAGCTCTTCAAGTCCTTGAGAGTGGTGGGTGTTGGCCACTCCCTCACCGACCATACCTTCTCCTCCAATGTGTTGATGCCCTCGCCCCCGATCCTGTGGGCCAAAAACTCCAGCTCCCTCCTCATGAAACAGCACTTTTCTGGGTGTAGCTTCAGTCCTGCTGTTGCTGTTCTCTGCAGGACCCTCCTCAGTGAACCCAACACCGTCTCAAAAGAGCTCCCGTGCACAAGAATGTCATCCAAATAGACTAAACATTCCTGACGTGGGATGGCATCCAACACCCTCTCCATCAGCCACTCACGTGTAGCTGGGGCATTGCACAGACCAAAACTAAGGACCCTGAATTGCCACAACCCCCGCCCTGTGTAGAAAGCAGTCTTTGGATGGGCCTCAGGCCTGAGTGGAACCTGCCAGTATCTGCTGCGTAGGTCCAACAAGGAGAACCAAGATGAGCCTGACACCAAATCCAGGGACTCGTCTTTGCGAGGTAGCGGCTACGAGTCCTTTTTGGTCACACTGTTCAGAGGCCTGTAGTCCACGCAGAACCTCGTTTTCTGACTCTTTTTCTTTCTGACCATCACAACCCCGGAAGCCCATGGGCTGTTGGACGGCTCAATGATCCCCGTACTGAGCACTTCTTCAATCGCCCCGTCAGCAGCCTCCTGATGTGCTAGGGGTAAGCAGCGAGGGCACGTCATAATCGGCCATGCATCCCCTGTGTTGATCTCATGTTGAACCAGGTGTGTCAGGCCTGTCTCCTCCTCCGAGAGTGCAAAAATATCTTTAAATTCCCACAAAACTTGCTGCAGTTCCTCTTGTTGATTTAGTTGTAAGCCGTCACAGCTACGCCTCCAGATTTCTTTCACCACTGTCAACCTGTC